CTGGACCGCCGGCTGATGTGCGGGTCGGTACGCGCCTCATCCTGTTCTGGAACGCCGGCTGATGTGCGGGTCGGTACGCGCCTCATCCTGTTCTGGAACGCCGGCTGATGTGCGGGTCGGTACGCACCCCATCCTGTTCTGGAACGCTGGTTGATGTGCTGGTCGGTACGCGCCCCATCCTGTTCTGGAACGCCGGTTGATGTGCGGGTCGGTACGCGCCTCATCCTGTTCTGGAACGCCGGTTGATGTGCGGGTCGGTACGCGCCTCATCCTGTTCTGGAACGCCGGCTGATGTGCGAATCCTTCCAGGTTTACCTTACCTGCTTCTTGAAGGCAGCTGCAACTTCCGCTCCCAGTGACTCCCAATACAAGGCCTGTTTCTTCTCTGCCCCAGCCAACAGGTGTGTTTTGATAGGTCTGAGGGTCACTCTCGCTGACTCGTGCTGCGAGTGACACCCACTGCCTGTCCCTGTAGGTGGATGGCTGTTGACTGGGACAGCAATGTGTGCACCTGCTGTGACTTTGACTGTGCTCCCAGGAAGGCCAGAGGTCTGGCTGACTCAGGTAGCCTTTACTCTCCAATGTGGATGTAATGCTGCTGCTGCTGCTGCTGCTGATGATGATGATGATGATGATGATGATGATGATGCTTCTGCTTTCCCTACTCCAGCAATGTACTGGGAGGGCCAATCGACCCTTGGCCCAGTCTCTGTCCTTGAAAAGCCTGGGCAGAATGATCTCCTTCCACAGCAGGGGATGTTTAAGTGGTGAGCCACGTGTTAAACGGGGACCATGAGGAAATTTAAATGGTTACGGTGGAGTTCCCAGGAGTTGCATCTGAGCTAGTGGTTCTGGCCGGACTGGGGGAGGTCACAGTACCGGTCTGTATAACTGTTGGAAACTTTTTTTCTTCAAATGAGTGGATTTAAACTTCAAAATAAAAAAATTAAATAATTTTGCTTTGTGCTGTACAACCTTCAAAAAGGGAAGTCCATTTCACAAAGGACTTTGATTTGCAGAATGCTCACTTTCAGTCCTGCGTGTGTCAAAGCCTCAATGTGTTAAATATTCTCATCCAGGTAAGATAAATGGATTTTAAGGGAACAGAAGGGATATCAACAGGCTCCTGCTTTAGGGGTTTTTACTCGGCTTAAAGCAGGGGTGGCCAATCTTATCCACAAAGGTCTGGTGTGTATGCAGGCTTTTGGGATAACCTGTAGGTCAGCTGTTCAAACCCAGGTGTGAGGACTCTTCAGCCAATCAGTCCTCTGATTCGTGACCTAATTAGGGAGTTGCAGCGAAAACCCGCATACACACTGGCCCTCTGCGGGTAAGATTGACCACCCCTGAATTAGGGAGATCCAGTGAAAACCCACATACACACTGGCCCTCTGCGGGTAAGATTGACCACCCCTGAATTAGGGAGATCCAGTGAAAACCCACATACACACTGGCCCTCTGCGGGTAAGATTGACCACCCCTGAATTAGGGAGATCCAGTGAAAACCTGAGCTGAGAAATGCTGTGATGCTGCTTCCTGAAGGTCAGCTGCTTGTGGGCCACACCACCCACCGCTGCCCTCGTCACGTAAGGAAGCACCATAGACTGGAGGTGGTCTTTGGTTCGGTCTGTCGCGACACACTACCTCCGATGGGAAGGTCGCTGGTTCTGATCCTATTGTCTGAACTTTCATTGTCGGACCTTAAGGATCTTGTTCCAAAACTCCCAATTGCTCTCTGGTCCAAATTTCAGTGACAGAAAGCCAAGATGCACAGCCGCCAGTAAAACGTCAGGATGGAACGGGGAGCTGCCTTAGTGGATTCTGCTGGCCAGCTGGGGATTTGACCGCAAGGTCCAGATGCGGACTGCAGCCAAGCTCTAGGGCCCGTCTGATCCATCCATCCATCCATCCATCCATTTTGTGTAACTGTCCAGTTCAGTGGTGGTGGGGGGGAGCTTATCTATCTGACCCTGTTTTCTCAAATATTTGATTCTGCCCAGGCCAGAGAGCTTTCCATTTAAATTGTGTCCCTTGTAAATACCAAACTCTCCTACACCCTTTTCCCCCCAAGGCCGTACCATAAGTGTTCTCCGAGATGGAAGAGAAAGAGAAAGTCTACGCTCTGGCATTTAAAAATAAAAAATAAAAACCCGAGGGAGTAGGATCAGACTGGGACATAGTTATTCACTGAGTCAAGCTGAGTGGCCCCGGGCTGGGAGGTGTACAACTGGGGGGGTGGCACAACTTTTTCTATCTTTCTTGCAATGTTGCATATGCGGAAGGGTCATTTGGTCAGAATAATTTTGGTGAAGTTCAGAGCAAAGTATGTAAGCAGGTGTTTTGAAACATTATTTACGTGATTATTTTGTGTCTCGTCATTGACAGAGCAGGATCACAAGGAGCTGTCAGTCATGTGCTTTGCATTACACAAAATTCATTCTAAATTCTTCAGTGACTTCAATCAGATCGTTTGTGCTGTGAATGAGATCTGTAGTCCTAAACAAAGAGATTCTCTTAATGATAAAAATAAATAACAATAAATAACAATAAAGCATATAAAGTATTATGCAAGTGAATTAAAACGTGATGGAAAACGTAATGTATGTTAATCTGATGAGATATTGTAAATGTCTTTCTGAACTGCAATCATTGTTTTCTCTTGCTTTTATCACAGTACCTCATAAATTACTTGTATCAACGATTAAATAAGTGTTTGTGTTTCGGATGACAACGAATGCAGAAAAACGGTTTCGTTTTGACCGAAAACGCTTCAGCTCCGGACGGGTAACGAAAGGTAAATACGATGCCCTTAAGTGTACTTTCACAGCGTTCTGATGAAGTTCTGCACTTTCACACCTGTCGTAACACGCTGATCATACATATATCTGTGTTTCGCCTCATTGCTGCAGGACAGAGCGATGAGCTGCGTCTATTATAACATTTAATTCTGCTGAAAGGTCTGAAGCATCACCTTCCCATTGGAAAATCAGCTTTCGCCGAATTAAACAGAAACGGCCAGGTTGGCCACCAATGGCAAAGGGAGGTACACACCACTGTCCGTAACAACGGGTTTAGGGCGACGTGGTGCCGATCACGGATGTATCGCAAGGTGCATGCCCTGTAAATGCCATCACACACAGCGTGCGGTCCGGCAAGCGGTCAGCTCTGCCCCCTCCGGCACGTTCGGGTTGCTGGGGTGACGCTTTTGTTTACCCACAGTCACGTGTTTAAATGTGCTCGTTGTTACGTTTGCCATATGTGAGAGTCAGGACCATGAGCTCTCCGCTGCATCTGCTGGCTAAAAGCAGGAGAGTTCCTCTCCCTGACGTCCAGGGCAACTGGTAAGAAACGTGGGTTGTTTCGGACAATTAAAAAATATATCTAATCATCCGTTGGCTGTGGCGGGGCTGTGACGCAGTGAGTTTTTTCTGCATTAGGAACAGAGAACTGCCTTCGAGAGACAACCACGCACGTAAGCACAGTCTTACTGTTCATTCACATAACTTTTCAGTAATGTTTACATGGTTTACACTCTGTTTTAGTTGTAAATGCTGCTCTGAACATCAGTGACATGGTCCTGTGTGTGATTAGAGCACGGAGCTGTGACTCCGGGTGGTGTCTCCCCCCCAGGGGTCCGTCAGCCGGCCCCCAGGGTCACTGGGCTGTCCACATCGCAGTCAAGGGCCACACAGAACGTGAGCGGCAGCAATGGTAATGTTAGATTTTAATTTGAGGTGACTACTGTACAACAGCAGAACCAGAAATCAAAGTGTGGATGGGCTGGCAGACGGTCAGCTGGCCGGTTCTGTAACAAAGGGAGCTGAAAGCCATTTTACTACAGACTACATGCCTGACTGGTCGGAAGTTCAGGGGTTGGGGAGTTTGAACGCGCCTCTGCCCGCCTCTGTCCCCCAGGCTCTGGGCTCGGTGACTTGGCACTGATGTCCACCATGATGCAGAAACTGGGCCAGCTGGAGCACAAGCTTCGCAGCCAGGCCATGGAGATCCAGCACAAGGTGACCGGGACGCGTACGCAGCAGTAATGCAGTAGTAATAATGCACCCTCTCAATAACGTACTTGTCAGTATATTCCCCAATATGTCAAGAGTCGGAGTACTTGTCAGTATATTCCCCAGTATGTCGAGACTCTGACTACTTGTCTGCCTCTTTCATTCTCTTTCTGACTCTGTTTGCAGGAGAAAAAGATCTCTGTCCTGGAGGAGAAGCTGAAACTCCTGCAAAGCCCAAAAGGTAGCCCCCGCCTCCCGCCACCCATCTCCCCCTCCCCCCTCAGTGAGCCGTCGGTACAGAACGAGCCTGCTCACGTAGCTCGTCCTGTTTGTGGTGCCACAGAGGAAGCCAGCGAGCCCAATCGAGTGCAGGACCTGGAGAGAACGTGTCTGAGCCTTCAGGAGCAAGTGTGGGAGATGGAGGTGAGAAAGGAGAAGGTCCCCTTATGCATAACATTCTCACCTGGGGGGGCCTGGGTCCACGGCCTTGTCTCAGTGCGGGGGAACAGCAGCCAGATGGCTGGGCCGTGTGCACCTGTGAGCTACCTTTAGGTTCTAATGTAGCTTCTCTAAAGCCGTGTTTCCCAACCCGGTCCTTGGGGACACCCAGCCGGTCCACGTTTTTGCTCCCACCCAGCCGGTCCACGTTTTTGCTCCCTCCCAGCCGGTCCACGTTTTTGCTCCCTCCCAGTTCCTGACAAAAACATGGTCTGTCTGGGGGTCCCCGGGGACTGGGCTGGGAAACAAGGCTTTTGAGAAGCTACATTAGAACCCACGAGGTCATGAGGTATGGAGGAGAACCCATCATGGGGCTCCTCTAAAACGTGTGTTCAAAGTCCACGGGACCACAAGGGTGTCATGCTTTAGTCACACCAACATCTGATTGGATAAATAAGGTTACAGACATGTGAAAGTTACTGCTGTTTTTTATGATACTATACTGACACTTGTACAAGTGAGGGGTGAGAGCAAAGCTTGGGGTCAAAGTGTGGGGTCCAGCATTTACCTGCGGTTCCAGGAGCAGTTTTTGGGGTTAAGGGCTTCCGTAATGGGCCCAGCAGGGATTCGAACCAGCCACCTTCTGACTCCAAACCCACAGACCAGTTTTTGGGGTTAAGGGCTTCCGTAATGGGCCCAGCAGGGATTCGAACCAGCCACCTTCTGACTCCAAACCCACAGAGCAGTTTTTGGGGTTAAGGGTTTCCGTAATGGGCCCAGCAGGGATTCGAACCAGCCACCTTCTGACTGCAAACCCACAGAGCAGTTTTTGGGGTTAAGGGTTTCCATCAAGAGCCCAACAGGGATTTGAACCAGACACCTTCTGACTCCAAACCCACAGAGCAGTTTATATAAAGGTTATCTTTTTTAAAAACCAAAGTTATTTTTAATGCCACATTGAAGCATCACTCACCTGCACACAAGGTACACTAAGTGCTGATGGTGTGTGGTTTTCTGTACAGCGCTTCCTGAATGACTATGGCATGATTTGGGTGGGCAGCAGACAGGAGAGAGAGCTGGAGAGCAGAGAGGAGGACCGAGGAGACTGCCAGGCAGGGCTCTGTGCTGCCACCATCTGGCGGCCTGGTAGGAGTGCGCTGTTTCAGTCCTCGGGCAAAAAGCCCTTTGACTGAGCTTTGGCCTTTCTAATAAGCTGACCTAGATCAGGGGACCGTTTTCCTCAGTAGTAGCATTTTCATGGATTCCTGGATGGATTTCTGCTGTGTGTGTGAACACAAGAGTTTCGTTTTTGTGCTTTAAAACACCGGCTTCCCGCTTTCAGAAGCGTGAGGCAGTGTTAGTGGTGCTTTGTTATAAAGACCTGCTGTTTGTGATCTTCTCTAGCAGGCACCACTGTGACCAGGAACTTCTGTGTGAACTTTGACCTGGTCCTCCAGAGCATCCGAGACCTGAACATCCTGGCCGGGGAGGGGGAGTGTCGTGTGGAGATCACTACGGGGGGGGGGCATCTTACGCGAAAAGCCCTTGTACCCTCGGTCCCCCTCACTCTCTACAAAAACGGTATTCTGGTGTTTGAAGGCCCCTTCCGTTCCTTCCAGGAACCCAGCACACAGGTACTTCTGATTTTGGAAGCTTTCTGCATGTTGTCTTTGCTGGGACTGCTGCTCTAATTTTACACTGTATCAGTCACGACGACTAAGACTGACTACTGACCTGTTAGTTGAGCTATGGAATATCCAGTTTGTAGAAGGGACGGACTTCCAAAGTTAAAATGAAATATTAAAGGGTCACATAAATCACGTGATTGCTATGGGGTAGCACATGTTGCTATGACGTCACTGACGTGAGACGGTGTTTTTTCCCCTAACACCCCCCCACCCCCCGGCATTTAATTTCAGCAAATCATCATGGACCTGATGGATGGGTATTTCCCGTCTGAGATGCAGGAGAGGTTTCCAGATGGAGTCACCTTTCAGGTTGGTTTGCCTCTGTGTACATTTTTTCCTTATAAGGAAAGTGTACCCACAATGCAATGGTGAACCTTGAAAAATATACCTTGTAAAATGGATTTTAAAGTTCAGCCACATTTTGTCCGTTTTGTCAGTTGTGTGTTTTCAGAGAGGACTTTCCAATGAAAGTCCAGCAAAGATTCGAAACAGTAGGAACGCCTGCAGTAAGAAATGCAGTGCTCTATATAGACATCTGGACACCGGTGTTGCGTAGGTGATCCTGCCCAATACCTGTCTGTCTTGCTAATGCTATTTCCATTAGCTGAGCAAGAAGAGGACTCAGATCTCTAAGTCCATATGTGATGTCTGTAGGTGACAGACAGGCGGGAGGTGGTCTTCAAAGAGAAGCCCAAGTGGACGGGGTTCCCGGGGACGGGGTACTCTGTGGGCGGGGCTACAGCAGCCACTGGTGGCAGCATTGGTCAAGAGCCAGAGAGAGCCAAGCTGCACACGCTGTGTCACATGGCAGGTCCGCAGTCCGCTCTTCTTCCTCCTCTCCGGAGGATTTGTGCACATGGGTGTCTCTCCGCAGCTGCAGACTAGCATGGTACATATCAGCAAAACAGTATATTGTCTTAGTAAGGTTTAGGCAGTGAAGTTTCCCATACTTTAACTATATAGCCCGCTAGCTGCCCTTTCCCATACTTTAACTATATAGCCTGCTAGCTGCCCTGTCAGGGAAACTGCAGCTTGGAAGTGTGACCTCATATGAACCACAGACCTAAGCAGCAAAACAGCCAGAAACAAGGATCCGCAGCTCTGCTCCTGTCTCTAGGTGGTCCACCAGCAGACGGAAGCGGGCAGACAGAGCGGTTTCTCAGAAGGCTGCCGAGGAAGGTGGTGAGGGCGGGCAAAGTGATAGACATCCGGGACACTGTCCGGTCCGGCCTGCAGGTGAGATGAAGGTCTCAGAACGTTGCTGTGAATTCTGTATCATACCTGTTCTCTAAGATCTCGATGGATGGAGTCCCATTAAGTTGCACTGTGTTGGGATGGGTCTCATCTAAACATCCAGCTGAGCTGAAGGAGCAGGGCCTGTCCTCCATACTCAAACATTGTCACATGACCCACAGGCCTCGTTGGTCCGCCCTGAGGTGACCGTCATAGACACAGCCACTCTGCAGGCTTCGGAAATCCGGTAGGATCTCCCCACACACCAGAACGCTGCTTTACCTGTGTGTGAATAATTATTCATGCATTAACTGGCTTCTATTGGAATGGGCCAGAATAAGGCAACAGGCACTATTAGTGCCACAGGAGGACTTGAACCTGCACTCATACCTGCGAATATCCAATGTAATGTGCTGCCCCATTAACTTAGCCAAACCCCACAGGTCAGTCCCCCCCGGCGATGTCACGTCCCTGCGTGTCCGCTCCGAGGACGGAGAGCATACCTTTCTCCTCAAGATGCTGTGCTCTGACACTATTGGCCAGCTGCGTTGCTACTTGGACACGCACAGGTGAGCAGACTGGCATGGCCCAAACAAAGGCCCATTTCATGGCTTTTATATCCAACAAGAGGCAAGACTGTTCTGAGTGTTCTCTGCATCTGACATACGTGCAAAAAGACAAGCTAAAAGATGAAGTAGAGGATGTAGTAATTTCACTGGACCACAAGGTGGCAGTAAAGATACACAGAAGCAAATGGCTGACAAACTCGGAGCTCATAATAAATTGTAAACACATCCAGTGAGCCTTGCAGTATAGTTCTTAATGTTGACATATTTTTCAGATTTAGAATTACATATGTACGCCGAACCCTCCAGTTAGTAGGTGAACAGGGGGTTATTGTACACGTCAGCACCAAAAGGCAGTGACAGAGGGGGGCACTGCATGCTGTGAGCCTTTGAGTGTGCAGCTGCACTCTCTCCATCCTCCTCTTGCTGTCCCCTAACAGAGGGCTACGCTGCACATCATATGACATCATAAGTGCCTTCCCACTGCGTCGCCATGACAACAACGACCAAACACTCCTCAGCTGTGGTCTAACCCCCAACGCCGTGCTGCTGCTGAGGGCCCAGACGCAGCCACAGTGACGCCCAGTCCCTCCGCTGTCAGGAAATGTCTCACGGCAAATTTAGTTTTAATGGCGATGTCGCCTTTTAAAAAGGAAATTTTTACTTTTTAAATTACACCACGCATTTCTGTTTTTGAGTGCCGGAAACATTGCTGTCAGTCTGCATTTGTTCAGGGTTTTCGTCGCTACACGCTGTTATTCTGCTACAAATGATGAATAATAAATGGTTTTTAAATCTGACGAGGGGCATGTGATCTTCTGGGCCAGAACGTAGACGTGGCGATGTGAATGATTCAGGAAAAGGACAGCATGGTTTTTCCGTCACCCCACACCCACACCGCCTTCTGCAAAGGTTGTGCACCATCCTTCTGTGCCATTTCTGCTTGTTTTAACCTGTATCTGAGCTCATACTGCTGCATACCTGAGTACAAAGGGGTGTGGCCAACAGCTGGAACCTGAGCTCATACCGCTGCATACCTGAGTACAAAGGGGTGTGGCCAACAGCTGGAACCTGTGCATTCAGACCCATCCAGTCATAGAGTTAGTCCTGTGACCTCAATCCACTTCACTTCTGCTCTGTCAGAAGACAGTGTGAGTCAGCCCAAAAACAACCCCTGTGGGTGGCTGCTGGAAGATGGGAGACAGATGTGGGACATGAGCGATTAGGAAAACACCCTGGCGCCGGTGTGTATACAACAGACCTATATCCGACTCCGGCGTGCATGCGACAGACCTTTATCCGACTCCGGCGTGCATGCGACAGACCTTTATCCGACTCCGGCGTGTATGCGACAGACCTTTATCCGACTCCGGCGTGTATGCGACAGACCTTTATCCGACTCCGGCGTGTATGCGACAGACCTTTATCTGAGCGGTGTGCTGCCTGTTTTTAAAGGCAATTCCATATACAATTTTTTCCTCTCTCTCTCACACACACACACACACACACACACATGCGCATCAACCAACACTCACGATGCGTTTTAAACATCACAGCAAGCTGTGGC